TTAAAACCAGGTAACACCTTTTTTAGGTGACCATTTTCTCTGTTTCAGCATTTTACCATAAAAGTATGCATGAAAATTTACGTAAATATAATCTTATTTTACAATATTTTCCCTTTAATACCGGTCTTTTAAAATACAATGTTATGATTAATCAATCGCTTATTCTGTCTTTATTCAAAAGACAGTTTTGACACAACGAACTATACCAGTAGGTTTACATCATGAGGCAGGACCAGCTTTGTGTTGTGATGTGCTGCTGGGTTGTTGCTTCTATGACTACTTCATTGCAGTGGCCATGTTTTCAGCATGCACCCTAGTCAGTGAATTTAAAGTGCAAATCTAATATGCACTAATTTTAGAGAAAATACTGTGCTTATTCAAACCTCTGTTAATTTAGTTTTATAATTCACTTATAGAATTTTGAATGTTTTAAGTTGCTGCTTGAAAGGACAGTAGCTTTGTTTGAGCCTGTAGGTGATCTATAATTGAAAAGCCAGTCGTATCTTGTAACAAGACACACAAGCACACAATTATACACGCAAACACACACAGGGGGCTGCACGTCACAGAGGAGCTGTCTGTAACTCAATGCTGATGAATTAAAAGGAGAAAAGAAAGGAGGATTGTGATAGCGATAGAGAATAAAAGAGGGAATGTGTTAGGAACCAATTCTTTTATATTACAAATGCACTGATCTGATCTTTGTGCTCAGGACAGCCCCGTCTCTCTCTGACACACACATACAAGCGCTCTTGGTTCTTTGTGTGATTAAAGGGACATTGGTAGGAGTTCAGAGACTCTGTGCTCTGAGAGAGGGGCAGCTTTAAACTTTGAAGTCAACTGCACTCCTGCATATTTGCTCACTTAGAATAGAGCTCCTCTGTACCTTAATGGCAAGTCTGACAGGAAGCCCACTCTCTGGCTGGGCCCACTGTTAGAGCAGTGCCAGGCCACCCTGTTCTTTTAGATAAAACAAGAAGTTGGAGGCAGAAAAATGCTGACAAGGTTTTTTTGGAAGTTTACTGTTTACTGGTCAAACATAGTAATAGTACAATTTAATAGTATTGTTAAATATTATTGTAATTCATAACTTTCGATTTGAATATACTTTAAAATGTAAATTGAATCTGTGATGACAGAACTGAATTTTCAGCAGCCATTAAGTCTTTAGTGTCGCATGATGCTTCAAAAATCATTCTAATATGCTGATTTTGTGCTCATGAAACATTTCTTATTATCAGTGTTAATGTCAATGCAGCTTCATATATTTGTGAAATCTGTGATACACTACCATTCAGGTTTGGGGTAAGTAAGATCAAAAAGAAAATGTATAATATTACAAAAGAGTTATATTTCACATAAATGCTGTTCTTTTGAATTTTTTTCATTAATCAAAAATGAATTTAATATCAGAAAAATATTGGGCACTACTGTTTTCATCATTAATAATAAGAAATGTTTCTTGAGCAGCAAATCAGCATATTAGAATGATTCTGAAGGATCATGTGACACTAAAGACTGGATTGATGGCTGCTGAGAATTCACCTTTGACAACACAGGGATATATTACATTTTGAAATATATATAAAAAAAATAGAAAACAGTTATTTTAAATTGTAATACTATTAAGCTAATACTATGTAATACTATTTTTAGTAATTATTTTTAGATTGTAATACATATAGCTATTTGTACTGTATTTTTTATATGAAATGAATACAGCCTTGGTGAGCACAAAGCTGAGGGAAAAAAAACTTAAATATTAAACTTTTGACCACCTTTTTATATATTGTAAGCAACATTGCTGATATTCCATTATAGACAGTATTATTATTATTATTTATTTATGTATGTATTTTTTGGAGGCTCTTACAAACATGAATTTTTTTTACTAATGTGTAGCCCTATAACACCATAGCACCGCATGAGGCAAATTTTTTAAAACACAGGCAAATATAGACGTGTGTATTCTTATCATATGTTTCTCATCCATGTGAAGACTATTTCCCCCACAGGATGTTTCATCTCAGCACATCTAAAGAGAGCACACTAAACACTAACAGCCTTCTCTAATGGCTGCAGCTCTTTAGAATGAAAAACATTTAATCTGAGTGTAAGTGCGCAAGTGTTCAGCTGCAAGGAAGTGATCCTAAATGAACAGAGAAATGACTGAAAATTACTTTATTTTTACAGATGTTGCCGACAGTTAAATGTGCTGACAGTTAAATTCAGTTTGGATGTGTACATACAACCTGTGTATGCTCTTTGAGAGATAAGAAAAAGCGCAATAAAATTGTTTTTAAAAATCTGTAATTTATTAGACAAATTGCTTTGCTTCACTTCAGTGTATTTAGAAAGTGCTCTTTTCTTTTCTGTCTTATAAAATATCCCCTTACTATTTTGGTGTGAGAAACTGCTGCAAATGATTCAGTGCGTGAGTGAACTGTTCTAATGACTCAAACTGAAGCGTGAACAATTTCAGACCTTTTTGTAAACCTGTTTGACCGATTAGATCAAAAGAGTGATTCATTCGCAAATCTGGCTCGAAAGTTTTGATTCTAAACAGCTGATAAAAAACACACATGACTTGATTGCTGAAATGTTATCTGAGAAAATGATTCTCAGGTTGGTATGCAGTAATCTTTATTGACACGTGACGTAAGGATTTATCAGGGCACACAGCAGTATTTAACTGGGGCTCGTGCCCCATTAAAAAGGATCTAGCAACGCCCCTGCTAGACAAGCTGTCACTGGGGGAAAAGATGATGCATTACTGATGTATCAAATTTTTATTTTAAAATGTTTTATTAAATATTTATTAATTTATCAAAAAAAATTTAATGAATTGGTTGAATGAATGATACAATGACTCACTCATAAATAGGCATTTACTTGTTACATTCTTAAATAAATCAGTGTGTTTGAATGAATCGTTTGAATGAATGACTCATTCATAAACTGTCATTTGTCTCCACCTACTGTCATAACAGAAAATGAGTGTGTTAAAAAATAAATAAACAAATACATTCACACACTGACAAAGGATGCAAACATTGAAAAGTCAGTTCTGTTGGAATACTATTCGTCCAAACAGATTTGAGAACAAGAACTGTTGTATAAACTTTTAGAATGATCATTTTTTATCATCGATAATGATTATTACCTCTTATCATCGGTATGTGATAATTACCTTTGCCACCATGTTTGTTTACACTGAAATACAGCATAGGAGAGCAGTAAAGACCTATTTTTCTATCTATTTTATATTTATCGCTACCGTAGACATCAATATTGAGAACCAAACAGCAGCAGAATTTTCAAAACACATCATTGTAATCAATGATATCTGATTTAACCAGTGTAAACATGTCAAAGTGTTAATAGACATTTCCGAATCATTCTCATGTACTGTAAGATCTTGTTAGTGGTTTGAATCGAGAACACTTTCTTTTCATTTCATTAGTGGACTCTTTCCACAGGTTGTATCGTTACACCAGTAGGTGATGACAAGTGGCTGTCTTTAATAGTGAGTCATTGAATCATTCGTCAACTGACTAGTTCAAACTATTTGTTTAATGGTTGATTCTGTTTTGGCTTTGTTTGGAACTATTTTCATTGACAAATTAAAAATGGACAAACAATTATAGATTAAAACTCTTTATTTATAAACATTTTCCCTGAAATTTGACACTAGTTTGTAAGAGCGTGATTATAAAGACACAGAGGCTGTAAAAGCAGACTAGTGAGTAGACGTTTTCTATCTATTTTATATTTATCGCTACCGTAGACATCAATATTGAGAACCAAACAGCAGCAGAATTTTCAAAACACATCATTGTAATCAATGATATCTGATTTAACCAGTGTAAACATGTCAAAGTGTTAATAGACATTTCCGAATCATTCTCATGTACTGTAAGATCTTGTTAGTGGTTTGAATCGAGAACACTTTCTTTTCATTTCATTAGTGGACTCTTTCCACAGGTTGTATCGTTACACCAGTAGGTGATGACAAGTGGCTGTCTTTAATAGTGAGTCATTGAATCATTCGTCAACTGACTAGTTCAAACTATTTGTTTAATGGTTGATTCTGTTTTGGCTTTGTTTGGAACTATTTTCATTGACAAATTAAAAATGGACAAACAATTATAGATTAAAACTCTTTATTTAAAAACATTTTCCCTGAAATTTGACACTAGTTTGTAAGAGCGTGATTATAAAGACACAGAGGCTGTAAAAGCAGACTAGTGAGTAGACAAGTTTAGATGTTTGGCGTGATGACATTTCACCATTTAGCCACTTGTTAGCAGCCACCTTTTTCAAGTTTTACTAAAATGTAAAAAATATGTTGAGCTTGTGTTAACCACTGACCTTATTTCAGGCATTTAACCAAAAACCCAATCAGAAAAGCCATTGACTTTAGGAGGATGGAACCTGAAGTGCTAAAATGCTTACTCATTTCTGGGATTTGGCCTACATAAATACATCATTTCTACAGTGCTCCATATGTAATTGTTGTACAAACCCTGAAACCTAGTGAACATTCGACTTCACTGATGCTTGGTTTTAAAAGTGAGTGAAAACTAGCAGAAGTTCCTAAATAAAGTAAAAGTCTTGAAGAGTGGAAGCTGTATAGCAGGCAAAGGGAGGATCACATGCTTTTGGCCATGTATTTTATGACATAAACTTCCATAGTCCATAAACTGAGTAGCTGAGTGTTCTTAAATGAGGAGGCAAAGTCCTCAAAGTTTTAAAAAATGTTTTAATCAAATGTAAATTCATGTCCCAGTCACATTTTCTTGGTTAAATATACATTATTTACTCTACCAGAAAAAGAAAAAAAAACTGCTATTTTATATTTTTTACATTAAAAATGTAATCAATATTCTATTTATTAAAGCCAAGTTAGTGTTAGTCAAGTTAGTGTTTCTAAGCATTTTACATTTATTCCAAAATAATAACTCATGGCAGTAACAGTTTAAACAAGATATTTTATTTGTGAACTTACGTTCAGCTATTATTTTTAATGGTTAACTTTTAAATAATTTTTAACATTTTCAGATCATTTATACATTTCACTAAACACTCCCACAGATCATGTTTTCATGCCATTTAAGTCTTATTTTGATATAACAAAGTGGTTATTTAAGTGGTTATATATTAAGTGTGTGAGTTGTTTACTTACTTAAAAATAAATAAATTTAAAATACTTTCACACACTGACAAAGGATGCAAATATTAAAAAGTCATTTCTGTAGGAATACTATTCGTCCAAACAGATTTGAGAACAAGAACTGTTGTATAAACTTTTATAATGATCATTTTTATCATCGATAATGATTATTACCTCTTATCATCGGTATGTGATAATTACCTTTGCCACCATGTTTGTTTACACTGAAATACAGCATAGGAGAGCAGTAAAGACCTATTTTATATGTATTGCTACCGTAGATATCAATGTTGAGAACCAAATAGCAGCAGAATTTTCAAAGCACATCATTGTAATCAATGATATCTGATTTAACCAGTGTAAACATGTCAAAGTGTTAATAGACATTTCCGAATCATTGTCATGTACTGTAAGATCTTGTTAGTGGTTTGAATCGAGAATCACTTTCTTTATCTCATGAACCAATCACAGCTGAACATAACCAGTCAGAGAGACGCAGACTCCTGTTGTAACTTTACCTACTGGTGTCGCTGTTGGACAAAGTTTCTTTAGAAAAACAAGTGATTTATACAAGTTTTAATGTTATATTTTGTAATATTGGTGTTGTTTTATTTTTGTACTATGAATTTTTTTCTCATCCAATATTTTGAGGAGACACTGCCTCCCTTGCCTCCTCGGAGGAAACGCCCCTGATCTGTATGTATCAGAATGCTGATGCATGACAGTGTTTGACCGCCCAATACTGTAGCCTTCCTATTTATTGAAGAGAATTGTCAGACTTGTTTTCAATACAGTTGTGTGGGAGGTGGCTGAGTCAGATTTTTTGAATACGGGTGTGGTCTAGTGTGCCGGATATATAATATATAAAATGATACATGTTCACAAACAGATTTGACCTTGAGTTTCCTCTGTGATCAGCATCAGACATCTGTCTTAAAAATTCTGCATGTTTGATAGATGCATGTTATGTTATTTACTCTGCATGCATTGTATAAGCATATGCACATGTATAATGTGTGGTCTTGACTAGTGGTTAGCTGAGTTTATACATAACCATTTCCACAAAAATATGAACTGTTTTTAACATTGATAATAAGAAATGTTTAATGAGCATCAAATCAGCATAATTTCTGAAAGATCATGTGACATTGAAGACTGGAGTAATGGATGCTGAAAATTCAGCTTTGTCATCACAAGAATATATTACATTTCAAATTGTATTAAAATAGAAATTGGTTATTTAAAATGTAATTGTCACATGTATGTTCCTTTTGAATTCCTGTTTGCCCTTATTGGTTCTTCCTGTGTCCTGTCCTCATTGGTTATCATTTGTGTCCAGCTAAGTTTGATTAATTAGTTCATTTTTTCCCAGGTGTGTCCCATTGGTGTCTGTGTATTTATAGTGTGTTCTGCCCCTTGTTTCCCGTCTGCTGTTAAATGTCATCCCTGAATTCCTGTGTGTGTAAACCTTTGTTTGTTGGATTAAAGACCCACTCGAAGTATTCTCCTTCGTCTCCTCTTTCCTTCCTCCCCGAGTGACCATGACAATAATTATATTTCTTATAAATATTATCTTTTATTTAAATGGTTTTTGGATATTCCAGTCTATCACTAGTCATGTAAAATGTGTGTTTTGTGGTGTCCAGTCTGCATGTGTGTTGTAAGATATGAAATTCTGATCATTTGAAGGCCCTCCATCTCCAGATATGGACGGAAACTACGGAGGGGGACTTCTGGATATGGTTAAAGGAGGTGCTGGAAAGTTCTTCAGCAACATCAAGGACAACCTGAAAGACACCATCAAAGACACCTCTACCAAGGTTATGAACCAAGTGGCCACGTAAGTCCTCATTGTGTATTCATGGTCTTGTGAACATCAAATGTCACACACGGAGCCACCTACATTGTCCCAATGTAGAAAACAGCTTGTTAAACATACCAAACCATGTAGCTCAGAATAAAAACTATAGAAGTCTGTGGAAATTCCCTATCATGATAGAAAAACGAATGTGTGTGTTTGTTTTGTGCATGTTTGCGCTTGTGTTCATGTGTAAGACTTCAGAGAAAACAGAGTCAAGGTCTTTCAATAGAGTTCCTGGTGACCTAGTTTTGTATAATGATTGTTACTATTAATATATAACAGGAGTCCTCAATGTAATGACTCTTTTTAGGGGTGTGTGTGTGTGTGTGTGTGTGAGATCATTGACATGAGGGGGGAGGTGGGGAGTCAAAAGAAACAATTTTTGTATTATATTATATTCTATTTTTATATTAATTTAAACAATTATTATCAAACAATTATATTCATTTATCAGTAACATAAATCTATCTTAGTGTATGCTATATATTTAGAGTTTTATAATTCTTTATCTTCTTGTCGATCCACCAGTTCACATTTACAACTGTGTGTTTTCTGTGTAAAAATAAGGGTCGTTTTTGGCTTTGGTCTAAAGAGCAGAAGGGCTTATTGAAAAATGCTAATTCATTCTCTGCCAGCAGGTAGCGCTTTTCGCCAGGAATATAGCCGTTTCCCTCATAACAGCAGTAAACAAAGCAGCGCAGCACCTGACTTTGAAACTTGCAGTGCTCATATTTAATCATTTAAATAGCCTTTTGAAGTGTAAGCTATATCTCATTATACATGTAAATATACATTTTTTTTTCACTGGAGCACCACCCGATTCTTCTCCTCCCATTTCTACCAGTGATCCTGGTTTCTTTCCCGCGGTACTTCCTGTGCACATATCAATAGCATCACTGGGCTGTAGGTTGTCAAGTTGAGGGGATAAATGGGTTGAAATTTGTATGCGTCGATCGTGTGAGAAAGATACGTTTCATACAAGATCTGGCAACTGGACAACCTTGGAATTTGTTGTCGTGATTATTCATATAATGAGGTTTGGCCCATACAAATTATGGGAGTTTTACTGGAAGCGAATGTAGCAAACATATAAAATACGCCCAGTGGCATTGTCGCATGATGCTTCAAAAATTTGTCATTTGTCTCCACCTACTGTCATAACAGAAAATGAGTGTGTTAAAAAATAAATAAACAAATACATTCACACACTGACAAAGGATGCAAACATTGAAAAGTCAGTTCTGTTGGAATACTATTCGTCCAAACAGATTTGAGAACAAGAACTGTTGTATAAACTTTTATAATGATCATTTTTATCATCGATAATGATTATTACCTCTTATCATCGGTATGTGATAATTACCTTTGCCACCATGTTTGTTTACACTGAAATACAGCATAGGAGAGCAGTAAAGACCTATTTTATATGTATTGCTACCGTAGATATCAATGTTGAGAACCAAATAGCAGCAGAATTTTCAAAGCACATCATTGTAATCAATGATATCTGATTTAACCAGTGTAAACATGTCAAAGTGTTAATAGACATTTCCGAATCATTGTCATGTACTGTAAGATCTTGTTAGTGGTTTGAATCGAGAATCACTTTCTTTATCTCATGAACCAATCACAGCTGAACATAACCAGTCAGAGAGACGCAGACTCCTGTTGTAACTTTACCTACTGGTGTCGCTGTTGGACAAAGTTTCTTTAGAAAAACAAGTGATTTATACAAGTTTTAATGTTATATTTTGTAATATTGGTGTTGTTTTATTTTTGTACTATGAATTTTTTTCTCATCCAATATTTTGAGGAGACACTGCCTCCCTTGCCTCCTCGGAGGAAACGCCCCTGATCTGTATGTATCAGAATGCTGATGCATGACAGTGTTTGACCGCCCAATACTGTAGCCTTCCTATTTATTGAAGAGAATTGGCAGACTTGTTTTCAATACAGTTGTGTGGGAGGTGGCTGAGTCAGATTTTTTGAATACGGGTGTGGTCTAGTGTGCCGGATATATAATATATAAAATGATACATGTTCACAAACAGATTTGACCTTGAGTTTCCTCTGTGATCAGCATCAGACATCTGTCTTAAAAATTCTGCATGTTTGATAGATGCATGTTATGTTATTTACTCTGCATGCATTGTATAAGCATATGCACATGTATAATGTGTGGTCTTGACTAGTGGTTAGCTGAGTTTATACATAACCATTTCCACAAAAATATGAACTGTTTTTAACATTGATAATAAGAAATGTTTAATGAGCATCAAATCAGCATAATTTCTGAAAGATCATGTGACATTGAAGACTGGAGTAATGGATGCTGAAAATTCAGCTTTGTCATCACAAGAATATATTACATTTCAAATTGTATTAAAATAGAAATTGGTTATTTAAAATGTAATTGTCACATGTATGTTCCTTTTGAATTCCTGTTTGCCCTTATTGGTTCTTCCTGTGTCCTGTCCTCATTGGTTATCATTTGTGTCCAGCTAAGTTTGATTAATTAGTTCATTTTTTCCCAGGTGTGTCCCATTGGTGTCTGTGTATTTATAGTGTGTTCTGCCCCTTGTTTCCCGTCTGCTGTTAAATGTCATCCCTGAATTCCTGTGTGTGTAAACCTTTGTTTGTTGGATTAAAGACCCACTCGAAGTATTCTCCTTCGTCTCCTCTTTCCTTCCTCCCCGAGTGACCATGACAATAATTATATTTCTTATAAATATTATCTTTTATTTAAATGGTTTTTGGATATTCCAGTCTATCACTAGTCATGTAAAATGTGTGTTTTGTGGTGTCCAGTCTGCATGTGTGTTGTAAGATATGAAATTCTGATCATTTGAAGGCCCTCCATCTCCAGATATGGACGGAAACTACGGAGGGGGACTTCTGGATATGGTTAAAGGAGGTGCTGGAAAGTTCTTCAGCAACATCAAGGACAACCTGAAAGACACCATCAAAGACACCTCTACCAAGGTTATGAACCAAGTGGCCACGTAAGTCCTCATTGTGTATTCATGGTCTTGTGAACATCAAATGTCACACACGGAGCCACCTACATTGTCCCAATGTAGAAAACAGCTTGTTAAACATACCAAACCATGTAGCTCAGAATAAAAACTATAGAAGTCTGTGGAAATTCCCTATCATGATAGAAAAACGAATGTGTGTGTTTGTTTTGTGCATGTTTGCGCTTGTGTTCATGTGTAAGACTTCAGAGAAAACAGAGTCAAGGTCTTTCAATAGAGTTCCTGGTGACCTAGTTTTGTATAATGATTGTTACTATTAATATATAACAGGAGTCCTCAATGTAATGACTCTTTTTAGGGGTGTGTGTGTGTGTGTGTGTGTGAGATCATTGACATGAGGGGGGAGGTGGGGAGTCAAAAGAAACAATTTTTGTATTATATTATATTCTATTTTTATATTAATTTAAACAATTATTATCAAACAATTATATTCATTTATCAGTAACATAAATCTATCTTAGTGTATGCTATATATTTAGAGTTTTATAATTCTTTATCTTCTTGTCGATCCACCAGTTCACATTTACAACTGTGTGTTTTCTGTGTAAAAATAAGGGTCGTTTTTGGCTTTGGTCTAAAGAGCAGAAGGGCTTATTGAAAAATGCTAATTCATTCTCTGCCAGCAGGTAGCGCTTTTCGCCAGGAATATAGCCGTTTCCCTCATAACAGCAGTAAACAAAGCAGCGCAGCACCTGACTTTGAAACTTGCAGTGCTCATATTTAATCATTTAAATAGCCTTTTGAAGTGTAAGCTATATCTCATTATACATGTAAATATACATTTACATATATATTTAGTTTTTTTTCACTGGAGCACCACCTGAGACTTCTCCAGTGATCATTGTTTCCTTTCCGCAGTACTACCTGCGCACACATCAATAGCATCACTGGGCTGTAGGTTGCCAAGTTGAGGGGACAAATGGGTTGCAATTTGTATGCGTCGATCGTGTGAGAAAGATACGTTTCATACAAGATCTGGCAACTGGACAACCTTGGAATTTGTTGTCGTGATTATTCATATAATGAGGTTTGGCCCATACAAATTATGGGAGTTTTACTGGAAGCGAATGTAGCAAACATATAAAATACGCCCAGTGGCATTTTTTTTTTAAATAGAAAGATTAAAAATACAGGAAAATATTTAAACGGGATGATAGCGAGATAGAATGTTAAAATACGGGAGAATCCCGGGAAAAACAGGAGGGTTGACAGGTATGGCAGTCACACGGTTGGTTTGTTACAACATGGCATCTGCACTCTCAGGAGTACTAAGGTGCTAAGCTATCGCTAGGTTGCCTTAAAAGGTACAAAAGCTAAAAGGTACATCTTTGTACCGTATTTACCCCTGAATGGTATATATTAGTACTTTAAAGTAGTGGTCGACCGATATATCGGCCGATATTTGGCATTTTTCAAATATCGGCATCGGCCGTTAAGTTTTTCTGTTTGGCCGATGCGTTCGAGGCGGGACTTTTATTTTGACGGCGCTGAGTGGCAGCGCCTGAGCACACAGTGCTCACATTCTCCCTCTTGTTCGCCTCGTCATTAACAGTTCTGTCTAATATGGATAGAAGTCTGTCTAATAATCCGATAGAACTGTTAAACAAAGGAATTAAAATGTATACAAAAGTATTATAACGATTGCTTTTATATTATTAGTAATAGAAAGGCAAACATTATAATACTTTCTCGTTTGCTGTCAGCATTCAGCAAATACGCATTTACATCATTTAAACAAATCTTTGAATGGCTAATGAAAATGTAATTTCACAAAACTTGCAAATTTAGTCAAATCCAGTTGTGAGATCTTGGCTTCCCAGAATACTGAGTGCTCTGTTGGTTACAGTTTACTTCCTTGTTAATTATATTTTTATAAAATATTTATTGATTTGTGGAAAATACTTTTACAAATTTATTTTTAATCCATTTTCAAAAGATTCAATTTCAAATTTCTTAAATATCAATTAAAATAAATACACTTATATCACCTTTATATTGGCCATCGGCCACCGTGCTTTCCAAGATATCGGCATCGGCTGTCAAAAAAACAATATCGGTCGACCACTACTTTGGTACTTTTAAAAGTACATATTAGTACCTAAAGTGTACATATTAGTAACATTTAAATGGGTACCGCCCAGTGACATTTTTGACAGTTTTTTTCTGAGAGTGTGACATGAGAAGAACCAGGAAGGCTGACACGTCAAAAATTAAAGATGTATTTGTGTACTTGTGCCGTATTCTATGCCGTTTAAAGTATAAAAAGTGTTATTGGTGTGTTCACACTGAACATTTTTAAAAAGAAAAAGTGCACTTCAAATGCCTGGAGGATGCACTTAATTAACTGAGGCTACGTTTACGCTAGTGCGTTTTCATTTTAAAATGCATAATTTTTGCTACGGTTACGCCTGTCGTTTACACTACCCTGGCATTTTCTACTCTCGAAAATGGAGACTTTCGAAAATGCTGCAGACCCCGTTTTAGTTTGAAAAATCTGGGGTTGCATTTCAGTGTAAACGGACCAAATCAGAGACTTTTGAAAACGATGGCGTGGCTGCCCACATTCGCTCTACGTATCCTCGGCCACCGTGCTTTCCAAGATATCGGCATCGGCTGTCAAAAAAACAATATCGGTCGACCACTACTTTGGTACTTTTAAAAGTACATATTAGTACCTAAAGTGTACATATTAGTAACATTTAAATGGGTACCGCCCAGTGACATTTTTGACAGTTTTTTTCTGAGAGTGTGACATGAGAAGAACCAGGAAGGCTGACACGTCAAAAATTAAAGATGTATTTGTGTACTTGTGCCATATTCTATGCCGTTTAAAGTATAAAAAGTGTTATTGGTGTGTTCACACTGAACATTTTTAAAAAGAAAAAGTGCACTTCAAATGCCTGGAGGATGCACTTAATTAACTGAGGCTACGTTTACGCTAGTGCGTTTTCATTTTAAAATGCATAACTTTTGCTACGGTTACGCCTGTCGTTTACACTACCCTGGCATTTTCTACTCTCGAAAATGGAGACTTTCGAAAATGCTGCAGACCCCGTTTTAGTTTGAAAAATCTGGGGTTGCATTTCAGTGTAAACGGACCAAATCAGAGACTTTTGAAAACGATGGCGTGGCTGCCCACATTCGCTCTACGTATCCTTGACGTCCGTGTAAACAATAACACCATGCTCATTGTTGTACCTGCATGGTCATGTGACATGCGTTTTCGATTGTGTAGTGTGGACGGAGAACGTTAATGTAGACGAGGATCGTTTTCATTTTTTAATGCCGTCTTAAAACGAAAACGCACTAGTGTAAACAGGGCCAGAAAAAAAATTAAGTGTGGAATGTTGGTGTATTGTGCATCATTTGGGACATAACTGATATCTTCGTGTTAATGGCACAATACCTTCAGAAAGCTGTACAGCAGAGAACCCCTGTTTACTCTCTGTTACGGTTGTGTGTTTTGTGACCCAGCTGGTGTGCAGTTATACAGAGGATACTCTGGTGATACAGGGGATAGCTGAGCTTCCAGAGCTCCTGAACTATTCATGTGCCTTTAGCACTCAGCCAAAAGGAAAACATTCAACACTAATACCCTTTAACACTAGATTCAGTTTAATTCAATTTAATTTTATATAGGCCTATGCTTTTATCATCAAAACATTTAAAGAGGTTATTTGGTTTATATTATTCTATATTATTAATTATTATTGTCTATGTTATTTTACATTATATATATATATATATATATATGTAACAACGTTCGTAGTCACGGAAAGAAGGAGGCAGGATATATATATATATATATATATATATATATATATATATGTAACAACGTTCGTAGTCACGGAAAGAAGGAGGCAGGAACCAGCGAACATTTAAGATTTTAATAAAATAAACAAACACAAAATGAAAGTAAAGCGGCAGCCCCTTGCGGACGACTGCCGCACACAAAACACAAAATAAAGTCCAGGCCTGGTCCTCTCTCGTCCAACACTGTCGTCTCTCCTCCTTTTATCCTTCCGGAGCTCCTCCGTGGGACTCGAGACCGGTGAGTGGCGCAGGTGTCGTGCATTAGCATTTACTCCACCAGCCTCGCTCAGTTCACACGGCTCTCGGCCCCGCCCCTCTCGTCACAATATATATAGAATCACAAATGATCAAGCTATTCTAAGCCTTTGTGCTTTCTAATCTTTTTGTAGTCCAATAAATTAAAACATGATTGGGACATGCATACAGCATAATAACCCTGCTAAATTAAAGTTTTTAAATTATCGACTTGAGACATAATGAAAGAAACTCTCTTTCCAAATCTATGTGCCATTCTCTTACACACACTATTACATTGGTAATGATTAAACAAGCTGCTATTTTTCACCACCATGTAAAGAGTGAATGACATCCATACACACAAACAGACCACTGCACAAACACACACACTGTAAACTGTTATTGTGTACTGTGTGTTTCATTCACCTCTTGCACAAAGGCTTAGAATAGCTTGATTACATATGATCTCATTAGAGGGATTTCACACTTCAGCAGATTACTCGGGTAACTTGGGTGTTGTGTAATGGTGTCCAGTATGTCTACAATTACTGTTAGACTCATGACTCGTGCTCAAAGACACGAATATTCACACCCATTCAAAAGTTTGGTGTCATTTTTTTTTTTTGCAAGTATTTTATGCTCACCAAAGCTGCGTTTGATAATGCAGTAAAATACTGTGAATATATATTATGCTGTTGATTGTGAGTTTAAATGTGCTTTGTGTAATTTAGGTATACAAAAGGAGAGTTGGACATTGCCTACATCACCTCACGTATTATCGGTGAGTAATGTAGAATTCTGTGGTAGTGAATGATAACCATGTTCGTATACCACAGTATTTGCATTTACTTCAAGGTATTTACAAATTGATGGATTTACGTGTATCACATACAGTATGTGTAGTAGACGTGTGTATGTGTGTGTACTCTCACACAAAGCAAGTTTTAACTTATTTCATGTAGTTGCTTATTTCTCACCCTCAATACTTTGGTTATATGTTATAAGGAAGTTGGTCCAGTTTAAATGCATTTTAAGTATATCAGATACTAATATTGTTGTGTTTGTGTTTCGGCTATATACACTAAATGCAGTTTCACGTATTTGTATTGGCCACATTGGACCTACTGGAAAGAAATATTATAATTGTCTCCTAATTGTCCTTTCATTCTGTCAGTGATGTCATATCCTGCTGAGGTGGTGGAGATGGGCTACAGGAACCACACAGAGGATATCCGTTCCTTTCTGGACTCACGGCATGCCGACCACTACACTGTTTTTAACCTGTCACAGAGGAACTATCGGGGGGCCAAGTTCTCCAACAGAGTAAGTGCAATCAGCTGCATTTCCTGATTTACATACTTTCAAGTCACTTTCAAAGACTCGAAAATCACTTTACCTTTGTTAAACGTCCCATTTGGAAAAAATACATTTGCCTTTTGGATTTTGTTAAAGAAAGTTTCTCCATAATTGCTTGCTTAACTACAAACAACATTTGGTGCTTTCACCCTAAAAGTAAATACCTTTTTAGTATGCAGCGCCTAATCTGCATATAATTTCCATATGCATATCAACCATAAAAATATGTGAAAATACACCACATTTAGCAGAAACTAGGAAAATAGGACACTTGTAAATGTGAGAACATTGCAAACATTGTTTTTTCCTCATCCCGTTCCATCACAGATTGATTCTATTTTATTTTAACTAAAAAAGCTTTTTTATTAAAGCTCAGAACACAGTTTACAGTAGAATTCCTAGTGGAAGTATCATGGACCGAGATATCTTTGTTGTCGTTAAAAAATGTCATGGAAAAAAGGGGGGCTAATCATTTAATTTTATAGCTTAAATCATAATAAGTCATGTAAAATATTTCTACATCAGTTCCCAAAGTCTCATTAAAGAAAGAGTGATGAGTCTGTTTTTCAATCACAGCATTGATTTATGTTAGTTTTAAAGTAAATCATCTTAATAACGACCACAATATAATGCTAAGTGGCTAACACTTTAGTATAGGGTCCAATTCTCACTATTAACTAGTTGCTTATTAGCATGCCTATTATTAACCTATTGGCTGTTTATTAGTACTTATAAAGTACATATTTTGCATGACCATATTCTACATCCCTAATCCTACCCTAAACTTAACAACTACTGTACTAACTATTAATAAGCAGCAAATTAGGAGTTTACTGAGGCATAAGTCATAGTTAATGGTTTGTTAATGGAGAGAATTGGACCTTAAAATAAAGTGTGACTGTTAAGGGATACTAAGTATGAGTTAAAAAGGAACACATTTCTGGTTCTGTGTAAATGAAGGGGTACTTGAGCCTTATTGACAGGGCTCTGGTGTACAAAAAGGTTTAGGGAAACACTGGTGTCATATGGAATTCTTGTTCTACGATGTTCATTTTTGTCTAGAATGATACTAGTGGCTAAGATGACTCCTCTTGCGTTATTTCATTAAATATTGAACAGTGCTTTTCCCATGTAATTAAATAACTCCCAAGATTAACTGCATGACTTAACTATTTCCAGCTATTTCATGGCTTATTTGCTGCTGTAGTTATAAAGGATATCTTAGTTCATTTTGGGATCACATAATTATATTCTTATTTCATATATAATGACTTTTATAGTTTCATTCTTACTCAAATCCCTTGCTGTTGTATGATCTTGTTTTGTTGTTGCTGTTGTTGTTGTTTTGTCATGCTGCTGTTTCATAATGTACATAAATATTCTTTTGGATGTATTTTATCCATGAACATCCAACTCTTTATTCTTTTCGTATATCTCTCATATTACGTTTTAACTATTTCCTATTTCTTTCACACGTCTTCCTATCAGTGACAGTAATTCTTTGTCTCATTCCTCTGTAGGTTTCTGAATGCAATTGGCCTTCCAGGCAGGCCCCAAGTCTTCACAATCTATTTGCCGTGTGTAAGAATATGTACAACTGGCTCAAGCAAAACCCCAAGAATGTGTGTGTGATCACCTGTTCGGTAAGAAGATCTCCTGATGTTCATGTCTGTTGTCTGTTTTGGTTACTCGGCATTAAACAACCATGACTGTTAAACCAGATTCATTGTCTACATTTGAGTCGGGTTCTTTTCACATCGACCAAAAAGGCCCTTTTTCTAGGCTAAATATGACTTAAACCCTTGCAAAAATATACATTTCTGAGATAGAAATAAGCTCACATACACAAAAAATTATTCTAGGCAGTTTTGTTACACACTATTCATCATTAACAGCTACCTTTAATTAAACACTAGGACAGTATGTAAAATTAGTCTTTTATTGGCCTTTTATATATATATATATATATATATATATATATATATATACAGTATATATAATATATATATATATATATATACACTCACATCATTTATTGTTGTTTTTATTGTTACACTTTATACTTATTTTTCATGTCATTACTTGTTTTGTGTATAATGCTTAGGCAATATTGTATCATGGAAATACAATCATGCCAATAAAATACTTTAAAGTGAAAATTTAAACTTAAATTTAAAGAGAGAGATGCAAACACGCACATACAAACACACACACATAACCAATGCTAGTCACATTTTTATTTGATTTCTTTTCCTGTCACAAAAGATGCTGACAGCATAAAATCTAACATTAATAATATAATATAATTAATATAATATAATATATAATATAATGGCTCTTGAGGGCCAGAGTTGAGAACCCCTGATATAATATAATATAATATAATCCGTATTATCCAAACCTGTCCTAACACTTGTTTGCTCTTTCAGGATGGCAGAGCTCTTTCAGGCGTGCTGGTCTGTGCCATGTTCTGTTTTTGCCACCTTTTCGCCAACCCGGTGCCAGCCATGCAGCTTCTCAGCGCCAAGAGGTCTGGATCTGGCCTGTGGCCCTCCCATAGAAGGTACAGTACAACCCATTAGATTGCAGCTCTGAAAAAGTAGCTATGAAAAAAATGACGGAATGGTATAAATACTCAACAATAATAGTACAGTAAATTATGAATGAATAAAATTGATTACTTTGTGCAAGTTTGGCATACGGTACCTTTGTCTTGAAATGTCCATTTATTTTCCTGTCAGTTGTAAACAAAGAATGAAACATTGTTATTCATCAAAACGTATGTGTCACGTGCTGGTGCTGTAAAGACCACACAACAAAGGAGAGAATTCCACAAAATTATTTTAATTATAAATCCAAGGAGCAAACAAGGCAGGCGTAGCACAAACACAAATGTAAGCATAACAATACAAATAACCGGTGTCCTGACATTTCATCCTACCCATCAGATTGTCCTACCAGGGCTTACTGCGCATGTACACATCAATATTGCATACATTTTCTCACGCTGAACAACACAATTACTGTATTTGCATTACTGTAAGGGTAGGTTTAGGATTGGGGTAGGTGTATGTGTTAATAAAGCATAATCTGATGGGAGGAGAGGGTGGGGGGTTCTGAAGGGGGACATGGAGCAGGAGAGGGGCAGAAACAAAACAAGTCCAAATAATAAGTCCATGGGGGAGTCGAGGGTGGGAGGAGCCAGGGGGAGGCCAGGAGCAGGAGGAGCCAAATGTGTAGCAAGAGGCCAGCCAGGACAGCGGCCCACGGTGGAGTCAGCAGAGGGATGAGCCATGGTGGAGGTAGGGCTGAAGACACCAGGGGGCCAACTGACGGAGACAGAGACGGTGGAAGAGGAACCCAGGATGGAGACGGAGAGCAGGGTGACACGAGATTCCGGAGAGCCAAGGTGGAGGCGGAGGCAGTGGCGGAGGTGGGGATCCGGAAGACTGCAGTGGAACCAGAGCGACAGAGGACCAAGTTGGAGCCAGAGGGATGGAGGGACGAGGCAAAGCCAGAGGAGTGGAATCCCGTAGTGGAGGAGGGACGACGACTGACCAAGGCGGAGCCGGAGGGATGAGGGAGCCCGGTGGAGCCAGTGGGATGATGGGCCACTGTTGAGACAAGTGAGCCAGGAGCCAAGGCAGAGCCAATGAGTCGAAGTTCCGAGGTGGAGTCCAGGACTCGGAGACCGGAGACGGGGGATCCTTACGCCAAGGCAGAGCTGGAGACTGGCAGACCCGAGGGGAATCAGAGCGCCCAGATGGCACTGACTGAAGGTGAGTTGAGGGACTGACAGGAACCAGCAGAGACAGGACTGAGGAACTGGCTGGTTTTAGGAGAGGAGGTGGGAGAGGGAGGCTGGGAGGGAACACAGGAGAACAGGAGCTGGGCAGAACCAGCAGAGACGCAGAAGATTCAAGGCTGGGTGTAACCAGCGGAGACACAGGAGAACAGGAGCTGGGCAGAACCAGCAGAGACGCAGGAGATTCAGGACTGGGCGTAACCAGCGAAGACACAGGAGAACAGGAGCTGGGCGGAACCAGTAGAGATGCAGGAGATTCAGAGCTGGGTAGAACCAGCGGAGACTCATGAGAATTGGGTATTACCTTACCCAAACCAGTTTATTAAATCCACATTAAAAATGTCTTTTAGTTCCTCCAGAGGCCGGTTGCAGCTCACCCTCAGCGGTCGGCGTGGCTTCCCTCCAAGCTGTCGATCTCACTAGTACACCAATGGCAATATATGGTGTTGCCAGCTCACGCACCTGGTCAGACGTGTCTTGAGTCTTTGGCTCTGGGGCGATGATCTGCTCTGTCGCTCTTTTTTGCGATAGCTCGTAGATCGTGGTGGGCTCGGGCCCTACGTCTGTGGTGGGCTCTGACGAATGCTCCATGCAGCAGGATGATGGTGATGGCTGGCTGTGCTCTGGATCAGGAGTGGGGCTGGTGAAATCCTCCTCCACGGTGCCGATGGGGAACTGTGATATACAGCTCACTAGCACCCACTCCACAAATGTGGCGAAGCTTTCCATCCCCAGACAGCTTTGCCTTCATCAGGGTGTTTAATACGATGTAGTAAAAAGTATATAAGCAGCTGTCTGGGTAGTGCATATGGTAGGCTAGATCTAAAAAATCCCTTGTGTGGTCTTTGAGGGAGTGATCCTCTTGCTCCAGGCAAAGGAGCTGAATGGTTGGTAGATCCATCCAGGTAGAGGAAGAAAATGAAAAATAAAACAAAACGAACGAAGGAAGGAGAGAATTCCACAAAAGTCTTTTAATTATGAATCCAAGGAGCAAACAAGGCAGGTGTAGCACAAACACAAATGTAAGCGTGACAATACAAATAACCGGCCAAGGAACTGAACAAAGCACGGAGTATAAATACCAAAGCAAGTGAAGGACTAATGACTAAATTAATGGAACACAGGTGAACAGAATGACATAAGACAACTTCAGGAAAACTAGGTCAAAGGAAAACTAACAGACACGTACCAGTATGTCCTACACAAGGTATTTTTCCAAAACCACTGACAGTCTTGTTTATGTGTGTTTATTTATTTAGGTACATAGGTTATGTATGCAGTTTAGTCTCAGAGAAGCCAACCATACCACACTCCAAACCGCTAGTCATTAAATCCGTCACAATGAGTCCTGTTCCTTGCTTCAACAAACAGCGCAGTGGCTGTCGGCCATTTTGTGACGTACTTATTGGCGAGACCAAGATATTTTCTACAGCTCAGGAGTACGAGAGAATGAGGTAAGCATGTCTATATACAGACACTCTACTAACGGTTCCTTTAAATCATATTTTCTGCGTAACTGAAATGATATGTAATGAATGGTCATATAGCATCCTATCAAATATGGCTCTTTGTAGTCTTATTGTCAGTTAACACAAAATTGTTAATTTCAGATGTGGTTTGGGATAAGTCATACATCCAGGGTTTAGCAAAATCAAGAATTTAATCATTCCAAAATCCTATTAATGAGTGTGAATTTAAATCGAATTGGCCGTATCTCATAGGAAGTTGAAATGGAGTGGAACTGGTTGAATTAGAATAACAGGATGAATTCACTAAATTGAATTTCAAAGATATTCAACATAGTCACCCAACTGATCATTACAAAGCAAACTAAACGTAATAACATTAAATAAGCATGCCGTCATGTCATCTGGATCCATTTTAAAAATGTGTTCTTCCATAAAATTTTAATTAATTTAATAAATATAAGGTATTTCAGAGATTAATTATTAATATCATCTCATGTTCGTTGAAAACCCCCATATGCTGTTTGTATGCTGAATACATTTATGAATAATTCATACTGAAAAATGAAATGTATTATTACAAAATACAATAATGGCAGATAGATTAATATATGTAATTCCATTTTAATTATACTTCCATTAAATGTTTTACTTCCATTATGTATTTTATAAGGCATTTATGAATTGCATACAAGATATTTTATGCAGCACTTAAAAATGTTTTTTTGTGTAATAGTGAAGTGTCTCTTCATGTTTGTTGCTCACAGGGAACACAGAGTTCAAGAGGGCAAAGTGGTCTTTCCTGTGGGAGTGAGTGCCCAAGGAGACGTGGTGGTTTCAGTCTATCACATGCGTTCCCATGCACTTCAGGCCAAGGTATGAGACTATAACTAAATGTAACTAAATGTTACCCCTTTTTAATTTAAAGCTGCAGCAGAGAAGAAAACTATAGATGAGTCAGAACTTGTAGGCTTTTTGTTCTTTTGCTAGTTGTTAGTGACTGAAAGGTTGCAACATCTTGGCAGTGTATAAATTCAGCTGTGTTCGCAGGTAACAAACACCCAGATATTCCAGATTCAGTTCCATACTGGTTTCATCGCCCCTGGCACCACTGTCTTAAAGTTTCTGAAGTAAGTGTTTCTTTTCACTTCTTTCATTATCACCGCATTGTAGTCTGAAGCAGTTAATCTAGCTTTCAAATTGATGCAAAATCCTGCTCCACATAATGATAGACAAAATGTCTAGTCATTCTTTGCTTGTCACGATCACAATAACTCTGATTTCAATGAAAGTGATGGCTCGCTGCTTTATCTGATTGGTGTGTAAAACTTCTTCAAACGTTTTTCTAATTATTATTATTATTATTTTGCATGCAATCTTATGACATTATTAATTGATACAACATGGAATATTTGTGCTTTTATTATAGATTTGTCACACCACAGAACTATTAAATACACTGCTAAAAGGTGATTCAAAATTATTAAGTCTGTCTACCTTTTATATTTTTAATGGACTATTTAAAATGAATAATTATTAATTAAAATGTCATAACTCAATCTTCCAGTGAAAAAGTCAGTCTTCTCTTTTAGTGAAGTATGCTAGACTAAGTATGCTTAAACATCACCCCTTCACAATCGACTAAAATCTAATCAACAACCGATGCATGGAACCAAGACCCTGACCTACATTTTTTGTTACACTTGGACATCATAATATGGAAGAAAAGATCAATCACTTCTTCCATTTCATTGCAACTTTAACTATATGGCGTGACCAGTATAGCACCCCATCATATAAAATTTCCCTTATGCATTCATAGAAATGCATGAGTTTAAATAGAAATTTAAACTCAAAATCTTCGATTTTGAAAAAAAAATTGATGTACATGTTTGACTATTTGTAGCTCTGCACTTAAGTCTGTGTGTGTGTTTATCCAGGACGGAGTTGGATGCATGTGATTCTCCAGAAAAATACCCTCAGCTATTTAATGTGTTGTTAGACATTGAGGTTGAAAGTACAGAGAAACAGAAAGATCTCACCCCACCGTGGGAGCAGCTCCCTACCAAAGACCTGAGCCCCAATGTGCTTTTCTCCTGTCATCAGGAACACCAGGATGCACTTGCTATTGCAGGTAAAACATAAATCCTGTATATTACTATGCTGTATAATGCTCTATACAACACAAAAAAGCCAACCAGATGGGTTTTTTTTTTCTTTTTTTTTAAATCCTTCAGATAGGAGCATTAGAAGTAAGACTGGGCGATATTATATTCAATATTTTTGCTGAATATAAAGTTGAAGCAGCATTGTGGATGATTTTAATATAATTTTTTTTGGCCATTTAGTTTTCTGACTGCCATGTTGTGAGACTTTGGTATCCGTTGACTCAGAAGTATGAGAATTGTAAAACATGTAGTGTTTAATTAAAAAAAAATCACCCTTTTAACCTATTTCATCAAATACATAAATATCAAGGTGTATTTTGAATATCATAAATAGTCTGAAGTTTCTTATTTCTTATTTGATCATAAATACAGTAAAAATTGTAATAATTTGAACTATTATTACAATTTAAAATAATTATGTTATGTTATAATTATTCCTGTAATGGCCATTACTCCAGTCTTCAGTGTCACATGATCCTTCAGAAATCATTCTAATATGTCCTCAAGAAATATTTCCTAATATTGGCAACACTGAAAACAGATATGCTGTGTAATATTTTTGTGAACTATGATAAATTATTTGCAGGATTCAGAACAGCAGTTATTTCATCACAAAAGTATTAATTTCTTTAAAAAACAAAATCGGCAAAGGGTGACAAAATGGCCTTGTGGAGTTTAGTCACCATTAAGAGCTCAGTAGTTTGTCCCTCAGTGACCTTTAAACAAGTCAACTCATCAGTCACTCGCTGGCATTGTGTTAAGTGTCTGTGCCCCATTAAACTAAACACCATCTGTTTAATGTACTTTATTCTCTGCTGAAAAGATGAAATGGAGGGCTTGGACTTGGAAGGTAAGATGTAGTGTAGGAGGCTTGTGAGAGTCAACAGAAAATAGTTGATTAATAGATTTGTAGTTGAGTATTGAATTTAGCAAATTATTTGATGAGTAGTTAAAAACTAGTGGCAATGAATTTGAGAGGTATAATGTTATGTTTCTCACATAAAGCTGTCGATTGTCTTCAGAAACTTGGAAAATAACACACAAATTGTATGGACTAATTTTATGTTGTTTTTTTAGATCTAACCATTTCGCCGGTCTGTCCTTTAGATCCTGCACAGGGCCAAGGGAGTTGCGGAGGCAGAGTGGGCCCAAATGAGGAGAGCGAACCGTCAGATGATGAAATGCTCTCCCTTTCTAGTCAGCAGAGTAACACGAGCAATGAGAAATCAAAAGCAGCTAAGAAACCAGAGCCCCAGCCTGCAGCGGCCCCTCCTCCAGCAGCTGAGGAAGTAGATCTGCTGGGACTGGATGGTGATGCAGCTACGCTTCCTCCATCCTCCCCACAACCTCCGACCACCAGCACCACCACAGACCTGCTGGGGGACCTGTTTGGAGCTCCTCCCACACCACAGCCAGCCAGCGGCCCCACTTCCGCTCAGTCCACCCCGCGGAGATCCGCAGCCTCCTCCTCACCCTGTCCATCACCTCGATCTGGAGACAGTAAGTATGTTTTATGTTTTTTTTTTTTTTAATCAAAGACAGACAGTTGAACTGATTGAGCTGAGATGTTTTGTCAGCAGTCAGTGGAGCAGCATCTTGGTATAGTGAGAAATTTGAATGACTGATTTATTCATATGAGTGGGATTCATTCAACATAAAGACACAAAGTGGAGACACAAATTTATTTAAAACTGCGGTGGTATATTGCTTTTATAAAATGGCTGTTACAGCAATATAATAAAAACATCCAAATTCAACTAAAAGTTGCTTTATTAATATGATTATATATTAATATTATTACTTTACTACTACTACTACTACTATTATTATGTTGTTGTTGTTGTTAATAATAATAAATGACAGTAACTAATCAAAAAAAGCAGTTTTGCCATCAATTATATTTACACTACCATTCAAAAATTTGGATTCAATAATTTTTTTAGAGAAATTAAAAAAGGTCGCAGACAGTTGAACTGATTGAGCTGAGATGTTTTGTCAGCAGTCAGTGGAGCAGCATCTTGGTATAGTGAGAAATTTGAATGACTGATTTATTCATATGAGTGGGATTCATTCAACATAAAGACACAAAGTGGAGACACAAATTTATTTAAAACTGCGGTGGTATATTGCTTTTATAAAATGGCTGTTACAGCAATATAATAAAAACATCCAAATTCAACTAAAAGTTGCTTTATTAATATGATTATATATTAATATTATTACTTTACTACTACTACTATTATTATGTTGTTGTTGTTGTTAATAATAATAAATGACAGTAACTAATCAAAATAAGCAGTTTTGCCATCAATTATATTTACACTACCATTCAAAAATTTGGATTCAATAATTTTTTTAGAGAAATTAAAAAAGGTCGCATTCAATTGATCAAAAGTGAAAAATTTAATGTTAGTAATATTATAAAAAAATATATATTTAAAAACATGCTGTACATCAGAGAGTGCATTATAATTTTATTGTATTTTTTGCAATAATTTTAGTATAACTCTAGGTTGTTTACAATTACCATAAACATATACCAATAATATACCATTTTATTAGCCATTTTCCAACAGCTTTGAACTTGTTTTAACCAATCAGATGAGTCTTAGAAGTGCATTTCAGCAAAAGTCCTTTTCTTTTTAATTCATCAGCTTTCGACCCGTTTGGGTCTGGGCCCGCTCCCACCCCTAAGCCGCAGGACTTCATGGGGGCTTTCCTGGGTCCAGGTAATATGGGGCAGCCAGACCCCTTCCTGCATGCTGCACGATCTCCGTCTCCTACAGTGCAGAACATGGGCATGGGTAAGGCATGTGCCTTTGCCTCTCAGTACTGTCAGTGTGTGGGCAACATCACCATAACAACCAGCAAAGCTCTTTTGTGTTAAATCCTTCAGAATACGATTAGCAAAATAGCCTTGCAAATTTATCTCTATAAAACAGCTCTGTAGTAATCGTCGTATTTAAAGTGCTGATGTTTGATGTTTTGGAGAAAGTGGAATTATTATTGGACATTGAGTTTGATTATTTATTTTAAGCACAATGTGTGTGGTCGATAGCTGCATGTGCTCTGTGAAGGACAACTGAAACCCTGTATTATGTATCTGGGAATATGCAAAGGAGATTAACATCAATATGAAATAAAGCAACACAAAAAATATTTTCCAAACATAAATTGTATACAGTCTGTTTGTTGGATGCAGTGGTAGTTTGCATGTCTATGGAGACAGCATGTGAATTTTAAAGTCCCACCAGTGCCATATGCTTTGACTTTGAGACATCCTTTTCCCCTAAAAATCAAGTGGTTTAAGTCTGAATGCTTTGAAACAGCACTACTGTAACATAAAGAGCTGATATTTGTTTGGAACTGTAGTATTTGTTTTATATTTCAAGCATGCGACAGAGCTGGAAAGTAGCACTGCATGATGCCAAATACTGCAGATTGCTACATTCTGTTACTCCAAGCCTTGAGAGATTGAGAGAAATCCCACCCCTTTTCCTCATTGCCTGTTTAAAAAAATTGCAGTAATTTCTTAGTCTGTGTTGTAATTTTTCTGTGGTTATTATATGGCAGGACGCCATTCGCATTTATTACCTGTCTGATTTTCAGTATTTTGTCTTAAACTGAATATGTAAATGATAAATGGAGAGCCATCAAGACAAGTATGCTCCCTTCATAGGTCGCAGTTCACCTGTGCCGCCCACTACTCCCACTGTCAACATCCAGCTACAGGGCTCTACAGGACCCTGGGAATGGAACAAACCAGCACCTGCAGGTAAGTGTTGTTCGAAACACAAAATGTGTCATAGGGACTCCTGGTGGCCTGCTCTGAAATTACACCTAAAAACAAAATGACTCACTACTGACCTGCCATCTGGACTGGTGTGTTGAGCTCATATAGCTCATAAAAGTTAATGTCTCGTGAAACTTTATGGTTTTTAAATCAAAAGAGCTGGATACTTCTTAGAATTATTCTTAATAGCTTTTTACAGGGCTCAACAGTAAAGTACATGCACAATATTTCGATATTCAATATTTTCACTGGCCCCAACAAATGAATTATAAATTATAAATTTTTCACACACACACAAAATTATATTTATAATAAAATAATTAAAAGAAAAGAAAATTATATTTAGAAATGATAAATAAACCTAAAGGCAGGATAATAGTTAAACAGGAAACTTTAAGTCATCAATAAATTCATAAACACATTTTCTAGAAAAGGACATTACTGATTTGTTTGTCATTTTGAACCCATTCTTGCTGATGCTATTAAGACATTATCACAAGTCATTCTTGCTACTTTGACAAAACCTCATTTATATTAACCAGTTCACTTTAACTAGCTGACAAGTTTAAAATGTTGACGGAAGCAGAATTCACAATGTGTGGAAAACCAGATAACTTCAATTTAAAATATCTTGATTTAATTTTAAGTGATCTCTCTTCAGGGTACTAAATTATAAATCTTGATTAGCCATACCAGGTGGAGGTTTTGGGATGGGAAGTAAGTCTGCCAGCACTAGCCCAACCAGCTCAGTTCATGGTACTCCCACCCACCAGGCCAAACCCAACAATTTGGACCCTTTTGCTGATCTGGGTAACCTAGGAGCTGGTCTGGGAGGAGGTAAATGGAAAAAAAAACAAAAAACTTTTTGAGCCTCATGAATTTCTTTCTTCTGTTGAACACGAAAGAAGATAATTTGAAGAATGTTGGTAACAAAATAGTTGATGGCAGCCATTGACTTCCATAGTATTTTTTTCCATTCATTTTTGGGTGAACACTTCTTTTACTGCATTCATCATGAATTCACCGTTTAACATATGTGTGTTCATTCCAAGGTGGTTCAGGATTCTCTAGCAAGCCAACCACACCTACTGGTGCTGGAGGAGCATTTCCGCCCATGGGCTCCCCTCAGCGTCCTGCCCCCTCTCCCCAGCACACTGCCTCTGGAGGCTGGCATCCCAGCACAGGCTTCCCCTCATGGCAGCCTGGAGGTGGGGCTCAGTGGCAGACGCAGACCCAGGGTGCACAGCACCAGACCCCACCTAAAGCACCAGGACCCTCTATGCCTCACTCTTCACCACAGAACAGACCCAACTACAACGTCAGCTTCTCCAGCATGGGTGGAGCTTCGCCAGGAGCCACTGGGGCAAAAGTACTGCCTAATATGGGTGAGTAACTGGACACAAATTGTCTAGTGACTAGACATAGAATCTGGTCCAGTCTTATGTAGTTGTGCTTATGCGTATGTGTTCATTGTAAAATTCTGATGTTTTGAGGGATGCTCTGTTATTATAAGCCAATATATATATAAAACTAACTAAAATAAGTTGTTTTAAAAGCTACAAGTGAATTTAGGCATCACAACATGCATATATAATATATAATATGAAAGATCAATATTGTTTTTGAGGCTGGCTAAAGATGATATTTAATAGTGATAATACATTAATTTTCTTTTTCTAATTAAAATTAAATATTAAACATTTTAAATTTAACATTTGAAAGTTTGCTAAATGAATAAATTATAATATTAATTAATAATAAAATTTGATTAAATAATAAATAAAAAACTTTAAATGAGTTATAGATGATGGCAAAGGCAATCTAAATATAGAAAAAAAGAAATGAGAAAATACAACTATATATTTTTATTAGCTAAATTATAAGCTAATAGTGATAAATAAATAAAAATCACAACATACCTGTATATAATGTACAATATGAAAGATCAATATTGTTTTTGAGACTGGCTAATGAGTACATTTTAATGGTGATTTAAAAAAAAAAAAATTTAAATTAATTTAAAATAAAATGTAATTAAAATTAAATGAATTAAATTAGAGGAAATAAGCACATGCAATCTCTAATATTGATCAGTGATACCGATATTCTGTATGCCTCAATATTTTCTTTAGATTTTCATTACTACTACAACAAAGAATATTATAAATAGCAACTCAGACTTTATTCATTATTTCCTTTTTCTTCCAGGAACCAGACCAAAGGTTTCGGACGCTAACTTTGATGACCTACTCTCAGGCCAGGGCTTTGCTGGCACTAAGGAGAAGAAAGGGCCAAAAACCATAGCAGAAATGAGAAAAGAGGAGATGGCAAAAGAAATGGACCCAGAGAAAATCAAGGTAAAAAAGTAAAACACACACATAAGTGCAAGCTGATATTTATATTACAAGGCTGACTGGAATATTTGATTCTGATGGTCAGGCGCTTGTTTTATGTATGCTGTTTATTTTGTGATAATGACCAACTGACTGTACATTGTCCCTTTCATGTTCCTCTTTTTAAAGATTTTGTTCAAGTGTGAATCGCATCATTATGTTTTATTACAATGTCGTTATTTGTGGCAGATCCTGGACTGGATTGAGGGGAAGGAGAGGAACATCAGAGCGTTGCTGTCCACCATGCACACGGTGCTTTGGGAAGGAGAGACGCGCTGGAAACCTGTAGGCATGGCTGACCTTGTCACACCAGAGCAAGTGAAGAAGGTCTACCGCAAAGCTGTGCTGGTAGTGCACCCTGACAAGGTGAGAGACGCACTTGTTCAGTGTCAAGAGAAATTATGAAGTCTTAAAAGCACAACTGCAAAATACACTACTGTTCAAAAGTTTGGGATCTCTAAGATTTTTTAATGTTCTTGAAAGTCTCTTATGATCACCAAGGCTGCATTTATTTGATCAAAAATACAGTAAAACAGTAATATTTGTTAAATATTATTGCAATTTGAAATAAATGTTTATATAATATCTAATTATATAATATAATATATATATACAGTATATATTGAAGTGCCCCTATTATGGGTAATGAAAGGTTCATGTCTCTCTTTCTTCAGTCGCAAAGAATTTAAGGATTTTGAGGAAAACATTCCAGTATTTTTCTCCATATAGTGGACTTCGGTGGTGCTCAATGGATTGAAGGTTAAAAATGCGGAATAAGGGTCTTATCTAGCAAAACGATCGGTCATTTTCTTTAAAAAAATTATATTTATACTAGGGATGTGCAAAAAATAACTGACTGACAAGCTACACAAAATCGCGTTCAAAATCGCAGGCGATTCATTGCCGATTTTGAACGCGATTTTGATCTACGGCTCTGTGTAGTAAATGCTGCTCCATCTGAATGCACGTGCTAGAGATTTACTACTAATCACCAGAAACGGCTTTACTGATGAGATTCGCATGAAAATCGCAGCCCTAATTTATTCACTTTTTAACCACAAATGCTCGTCTTGTCTAGCTCTGCGAGACGCATGCATACTCTGACTGTGTACAACAGTTCAAGACAGGGTATGTCTAAAAACTCCCAACACTTTTCTCCTCCAACTTCAAAATCGTCCTACGTTGTTTTACCTTTTTTTTTTTGTAAAGGGTGTTTGACCCTTCTTGCACATTTACTTTGTAAACACTGAGGCGGTGCTTCTGCAGCAATGTAGGATGATTTTGAAGTTGGAGGAGAAAATGAGTTGGGAGTTTTTCGACATAACATTACCCTAATTGTACCCTAACGGATTTATCTTCACAGTGCAGAGCACACTTCTCCACAGGAATCCGCTACGGTGTTTGAGGGAGGGGAGGTTCAAGTTTTCCCTGGTCTGCGTGTGCAACAAGTGGGCGGGCATAAATATGCTAATGTTTCATGTTTACATCATCTTGAAACAGCTTCAGATTCTTTTTAAAAACAACTCGTTTTCATCGACTCTTTCTTTTGAAAGACAATAACTTTATACACGGTGCACTTTTAGATTTAAAACTTTGCAGGATGTTTTCATTTACTTAGTGCTGTATTACACACTGCATGAAAGGTAATTTTCAAAAATCCATAATAGGGACACTTTAAAAAAGCACAGTATTCCGGCGATGGATTTATTATTAGCATCGATGTTGAAAACAGTTGTGCTGCTAAATATTGTTATGGAAACCATGATACTTTTTTTCAGGATTCTTTGATGAATATAAAGTTAAAAAGAACAGCATTTGTTTGAAATGTAAATCTTTTGTAACATTTAAATGTCTTTACTGTCACTTCTGCTCAATTTGTGCATTTCTGAATTGTATTTCCTATATATTTCCTTTCGAAAAATCTTACTGACCCCAAACTTTTTAGTGGTAGTTTACCTTAATTATCAAGGTGAAACATGGTCATGAACAACTCAATTCTGACTGTTTCATGGGTAAAATACATTTGTAAGTGGATCTCAGGGATAATATTTGATATGGCCACTTTAAAAAATATCTAGTTCAGGCATTTTAAAGACAAAATTTATTAGTTTTCTCTCTCTTCCCATCTGCAGGCTACAGGACAGCCCTACGAACAATATGCCAAGATGATTTTTATGGAACTAAATGATGCCTGGTCAGAATTTGAAAGCCAAGGACAGAAAGCACTGTACTAAGACTTACTGTATATGATCACAACCAGTCAGCAGTTCCTGCCCCGATTAGACACCCTGCAGCCCACCAGTCCTTGAGACGCTCCTTTGGTATCTCTCCCACCTCCAGGACCCTGCTTCATAGAGACGTCAGAGCTTACATCTACAGTATAGTTGTGTGTATCTCTCTATCGATCCATGTATCAGGTCCCATCATGCAGTAGACCAACATAACTGCTGTATGAGAAGACTGCTGTTGGAAAAAGTAGCATTCAGCTTTGTTTTAAAAACTCACCAACATAACAAAGATCAGACTTTGTCGTTAAACAGCTGTGAAAGATTTCTGTGAACATTAGCAGTCAACCAGGTCATCAAAGAATTTATTCAGGAGCTTTCAGGTGAGTTTTGACTTATTAAATGGGTTTAGTGCTGAGGAAACATCTTCAACAAATGAAAAATATATTTCTAGACACTCCGGAATTCTGCAAGACAAACCTCACACTGCTTTGGCTTGCAAAACTTTATTAAACAACTTTGTCAAAAACCTTTGTCGGCTGTTATATAATAAGGTTTTGCATGCCACAACAGTATTCAGGACCTTATCAATTTCTTCCATTGTGTCCAGCGCACCTGCTCATGACCACTTGTGCGAGGGGTGTTTATTTATTTGTTGGCTTTGCAAGACAACTATGAAATGTGTAAAAATAAAAGTGGTTCTGGGTATAGTGAGCTACGATTCTGGTTTTAGTTCAGTCAGGGGCTACACTCTTAAATATAAAGGTGCTTCAAAAGGTTCTTCAAGCGATGCCGTAGAAGAACCATTTTTGGTTCCACAAAGAACCATTCAGTCAAAGGTTCTTAAAAGAACCATCTCTTTCTTACCTTTTTATAATCTGAAGAACCTTCTTTTGCCACAAAGAACCTTTTGTCAAACAGAAAGGTTCTTCAGATGTTAAAGGTTCTTTATGGAACCATTTAGACAAAAAAGGTTATTTTATGGCATCGTGAAGCACCTTTATTTTTAAGAGTGTAGAGGTTAAGAAAGATAACCACAAATGAAAGAACACTCCAACAAAAACCTGCAGCCTCTAAAAATGTCTTGTGTCATGTAAAACATAACTTCTTTCAGAAGCTAAATGACGCGGGACTAGGGGGCAGAAGCACAATACGTTTGAAAGACTGTACAGGAAATGGGAGTTTTTTTCAAACTTGATCTGTGAAATGCTGTTGATTTAACTAGCAGTTTATTCTTATGTTGTTTTCTACTGAATATTGATCTGTATGTATATGTTGCACTATAATAACATACTGTTTACAACATAAGTCAAAGGAAATTGTTTATTCATGTAGTTATTCCATAGAAAAAGTAGTTTTGCAGCCTCAAAGTGACATGGCTTGATTTGAGCTGAAAGTTGACGTTTATGTTAACTTAATGTCTTTAACTGGTTAATGGTGCCCTAAAGAACTAGTTACACTTCTTAGGGGCCACTCAAACGGAACGCGTTTTTGCTTTTAAAAACGTGTCGTGTGCGAGAAGCTGCAAAAGATGCAAGCGCAAAGGTCAATCTAGCGCGTTTACATAGAAAAACAATAATTCAATTGGAATAGAAAAACACGTTATGTGTGAACGGCCCCTTAGTACTAAACGGTTATCAGGAATCCTAAAATTTGCTTGAAGTTTTGCCTAGCATACAATTCTACTGCGTTCATGCTTGCTACTGAAACACCTTTTGACTGAGGAATGTGATCGATGGATAGTGTTCAAAACCTGTTGTTTTTATTACCATAGGTGTCTTTTAAACCGACTTAACATATCATTCAGAGTGGACCATTAATATTTTGACATGAAATCATCAAGGCCATTACGCAACGTAAGTGGATATGTCTTTAAAATCCAGCTATATCGGTATCCTCATAATGTACTGCATGTTTGACTGTAAGTGGCACGTGGTCCAAAGGACGTTTCTAGAGTGTACAGCCACTGATCTGCCCTTTCTCTTCTCAATATATTTGCACTTGAATGGCATTAGGTAAATCCAGAACACACTTGTGTCGTAACTTGCAGTACTTGCTGTACATCTTGTTCATGCTTTGCCTTCCTCTTTTCGCAATCATGCGGTGATATACTGAAGCTTTAACTTTATCAAAGCAGTTTTCTCTATCTCTTACGTTTTGCCATTATCTTCCCTTTGACACAATGCGACTATAAAGCCTTGAATGCTAACAATGGACAAAGACAACTGATTAGCGAGAACTGAGCAAAAGAAAGGATCCCTGTATCCAGGATGGAACTCCCCCTCCCACACACTTTTGTGGACTGATCTTAGGATATCATAATGTTTGGAAGCTAACCTCTGTATACAGTAGTGAATGTGTGGTGTTCATTAATATTGTTCTCTGTAAGGAAGAGGCACGGTTTTGATACAGCTCTGTGTTTGTTTGCTGTATCAGTATTGTGACATTAATTTATTTTCTGTGTCCTTTTTTTTCTGTTCCTGTTCTCCATGTGGAGCTGTACATATGATAATGTGCATTGCACAAATAAATGGGAAACATAAAGATGTTAGTGTGATTTGTACATCTTGTTCATGCTTTGCCTTCCTCTTTTCGCAATCATGCGGTGATATACTGAAGCTTTAACTTTATCAAAGCAGTTTTCTCTATCTCTTACGTTTTGCCATTATCTTCCCTTTGACACAATGCGACTATAAAGCCTTGAATGCTAACAATGGACAAAGACAACTGATTAGCGAGAACTGAGCAAAAGAAAGGATCCCTGTATCCAGGATGGAACTCCCCCTCCCACACACTTTTGTGGACTGATCTTAGGATATCATAATGTTTGGAAGCTAACCTCTGTATACAGTAGTGAATGTGTGGTGTTCATTAATATTGTTCTCTGTAAGGAAGAGGCACGGTTTTGATACAGCTCTGTGTTTGTTTGCTGTATCAGTATTGTGACATTAATTTATTTTCTGTGTCCTTTTTTTCTGTTCCTGTTCTCCATGTGGAGCTGTACATATGATAATGTGCATTGCACAAATAAATGGGAAACATAAAGATGTTAGTGTGATTTTTTTTTAAGTGACATTTGAAAGGTAAAATCTTTTGTTTGTGTTGAAAGTACAGGAGATTTGAAAGGATTATTCACCCAAAAATTCATGTCAATCCCAGTGTTAATATCATATTTAATATTTTCTGTTTTCACTTTGATTTTAAAGTTTTAATACTTCTGTTATTTTTTATATGTTTGTTTGTTTGTTTATTTATTTATGTCTATATAGCATTTGTTAGTTTTAATTTATTTAAAACTATTTCATTAAATTAAATCAAAAGGAGAAATGCTGCCTTGGCAACTTGATATTAATAAAATACATTTTATTTTAGTTGACGTTTATTTTATTTCAAGTAAATCATTTTAATTTAGTTAGTTTTTGTTAATGACAATAACCCTGGTCATTCCAAAACTGGAACTTTTTTTCTTATGTGGAACATAAACGAAGAAATCTGAAAACTGTCTGTGTTTTTTTTTTTACAATCGAAGTCAATAGTCTCTAATGTTGTTTGGTTATCAAAGTTCTTCAAAATAGTTTCTGTGTTCTGCAGAAAGAAACATACATTCAAATACAATGACTGACTTTCAAAAGTTATGTACAAATTAAAAGTGGAATGCCATGACTCTTAAAAGCCTGTGAGGAATGATGCATGTTACTGAACACCTAAAAGTTTATTGTGCAACACATTAGCAGTAAAAAATGTAATGAAAGGCCTGACTATTCCTGCTGAGTCATCAGATCTCCCTTCATTGGCTGATTCATTCGGTTTATCTGCCCACATCTTTGGAATGTGGGGGTTTTTGATGAGCAACAGTTCTTATGGTGAGAGTGAGGTGAAAGATGAAACAGAAAAAGAAAAAAGATGATCATCAGCAAAGATAAGGAACATGAAACACTTTCGACAGCAAAACACACTGATCCAAAGAGAAATGGAGTCAAGATTAAATCTTTGCTTGAGCCTCTTTGACTTTAATTTTTAACACAGATTGCTCTGGTGAGATTTCGTCAGCCCTGTGTCCTCTTAACCTGTGACCTCTGACCCTTGGGAATCCCCTCAGCTGTGATTAAACGTAGTGCCCACAAGATGGCAGCAATACTGTGATCATCTTCTTTTAACTACATACAAACTAATTTCCCAGAATCTTTTAACCCTCTATGCAACATTGTCATTTATAAATGAAACCCAAGTCAATTGCATTAAAAACAATAATAATTTTCAACCAATACAATTTTATTTTAGTAATGTGAAAGGACACTATCTTCAACCAATAAAATTCTAATTTATTTGCCATGTGCTTCACCTTTATGGCAACAAGGAAGAGATGGAAACATTAGCAAGTTTGGTCACATGGCACCAGGGTGAGTTTATTTAGAATAGAAAAGAAAAGAAAAAGCAAAATATAATTGTATATCCCACTGTTCTTTTTAAAGCTTTTCCCGTCATTTTTAAGGACATTTTATAAAAACAAAAACTCAAAGACCTAAAAATATATGCATCATATTTAAATGATAGTCCTTGGATTCGGAACAATTGAAAGATAAAATCAAATTTGAAAGTTTTTAATGGTTTTGAAATTACTGTAGGGCATTCAGTTTGTTTGTGTGACATAAAAGCACTCCAGGGTGTTATGGATATAACAGCGCAGAGTAATGAAGTACATTAATACAGTCTTCACTACGTCAGTTGCTACAGTTAGCGATTTTTGTCTTGTAATTTCAGACAGAATATAACAGGAGTGTTTGTTTTTTTCACAGATATCATCTAGACCTAGATCATAATGGTGAATGAACCGGGCCATTATGTTAAGAAGTGGAGTCATTCCTCCACTGAGGGTCCATAACAAAGAAGCTCTTGTGTAAGCTCTGGTCCTTAAAACAAGGGAACTCTGAGTCATCCTAATGTAAGTGACTGTAATGGGGTGAAATTTCTTCTCCATTCTGCAGCTCAAGAACACTTCATGTCTCCACTTTGTTAATCTTTATAGAGGGCACCTGTCCTTTGGTTCTCTCAGCATTTGAGGTACATTGATGGAATCTACTGTATTCTGGTAAGATATTACCAATCCTATCCCCTATAACCCAGAAAAAAAAGTTTTCTTATTGACTTCCGTAACATTTTTCCAGATATTTTGATACTTGTCCAGGTAAAATATCTTCCCATGCTTTTTTATAGACATGACAAGAAACATTTAGCTTGCACATGCATCATATTGCATTTCCATTGCTCTCAAAGGTATTCTTCACCAAAGCAAAATGCGCTTATCCTCATGTTGTTCCAAACTTGTATGCATGTGGTATGTAGACTCCAGAGTCAATGTAATTCATTCTGTGATCAGCATGAACTCATCAAACTCTATTTCTCTGTTTCGTCTTAAAAACAAATGGTGCAAATAATGGCAGAGATGATTTACTAATCTTTTATTGCCTGATTTTTCCAGTTCTATGCAATTCTGTTTGTGTATGGGGTCAGTAAGGGCATTTGATTCCCTATTGTCTGTTAGTTTGAGCACCATTCATGAGCACAGCATGACAGAGTTTGCACTGTTCACAACTAAGATGGCAGTTGCATTACCATGCACCTGCACTGTAACGCACCTGCTTTATCAAAATGACGTGCTTCATATGCATGGATATTTTATATAAAGATATGGAGCTGTACTTGGACAGGAATATGTATATGTAATTGTCTGTATCCTCTTTCATATCCTTTTGTTCGTCCCTCTCAGTTGGCATTGCAGGCTCATTCACGTCAGTGGGCTGTGTGGATGAAGTTTTAACAAGGCCAGAGATGAGTCAGGCCAGAAAACTTTATGAGAGACAGTAAAATAAAATGTGCTTAGAGCAAAATGGAAAATTATTTTGAGATCCAAGAGAAACATGAATACAGGACAAAGGCTGTCAGCTGTCAGGATGGCAAACAGGGGCCTTCATTTTGACAGTAGCTTAAATAAATATTGTGAAAGTTTTGACAGTCTTGTGCAGATTCAACTGCCGTCCTCCAGGAAAATGTCCTGATTTTCAGCCAAGCCTGAGGGTTCGATTATAGCAGTTACAATCACATTATAGCAGAGCCGACTGATGGAAATCTCTGGAAATGGAGGCCAACAGTCTGATCATTACCACATGCTTGACTGTAAGTCACATTGATGATTTGGTCTAATTAATGTATTATTCTTGGGTTAAATTTCAGCGGCTTGAGAATTTGGACCAGTGCATGTTTAGAATATAAATATAGTAACTTTTAGCATTAATATTGCCTAATTAGTATTATAGTATATTATGTCAATATATTGTTCATATCCAGATTTATCTCTTGCCGAAGACTAGTAGGAGCCCCACACACGATATGCAGGAAAAAAAAAGTAGGAGCCTAGGACTAAAGCGTGCGCACAACATAATAATTTGTTCCCTCGTTTTACTAAATCGTGTACACAACTTATCTCATTCCCTTGTTTTAAGTCAATTGTGCGCACGATAAGAATAAGAAATATACTGTTTTTAACCTTTATAACTATTATAGTGCCATTTTTTGCCCCATGTCCATAACATTTTGCGTGCTTGTTTAGAATCACATGATGCGTGAGTTGACTTAGTTTTGTGATGTTTTAAGCATTCTTTTGGGATTCATAGATTTTTGGGTACACTATATCAAGACCATATTTTAAATGACCCTGTTATGGCTATCCAACTGCAAATGTTTAACATTTCTTGATTATTATTGACCTAGAGAGTCCAGAGAATTGTACTGCACTGATTTCATTGATTTTGAGTTAAAAACCTAGGACTAGTTCACAGAAGTAGGTTTTTTAAATAATCCCAAATTTTAATGATTCACAATTTTATTGGTCCTAGAGGCAAAGTTGAGGAGAATGAGGAGATCAATCTAACAATGTGAAGATCTAGAGTATGCATGTATATGTGAACATTTTCTGCAATTTGAGGTAATTTACCATAGAAATATAGTGTTTTTGAAGCCTTTTTAACTGTTATGGCGCCACCTGTGGTCCAATTACCATAAAACTTTACATGCTTGTTTAGAATCACCTGTCGCATGTGCTTACCTAGTGCAAGTGAAGTTTTATGTTTTTGTTTAGGCTTTATAGGCTTTTGGGTATATTTGGACATGCCCTTTTCTAAACTATCCCGTTATACAGGGGTGTCAAACTCAATTCCTGGAGGGCCAGAGCCCTGCAGAGTTTTGTTCCAACACACATACCATGTAGTTTTCAAATAAGCCTGAAGGACTTGATTAGTTGGATCAGGTGTGTTTAATTAGGGTTGAATTTAAACTCTGCATTAAACTCTGTATTAAACTCTGACACCTCTGCTGTTATAGCTACCCAAAGGGTAAAGTTCAACATTTTTTGATAATTATTGACCTAGAGAGTCCAGAGAATTGTACTGCAGTGTTTTTTTCGAGATTGAGCGAAAAACCTAGGACTAGTTTGCAAAAGTAGTTTTTTATTATTATTACATATTCTCAATTATTTAAC